CAAACGGCGCATGCACAACCCTACCCTAGACCACTCACTTGTCTCCCAACAGACAGGTGTTTAATCATAGTTCACGGGGAACCGCATCTCTCATTACTGTCTCCTTCCGAGGCAAGTAATACTGACTACAGTGGCCTCAGCCCCATGCCACTGAACTTTCATTGATCACGTCGTGTCTAGTTACCTCACTCCCAAATGTTTTGAATTTTCTAGGGCACCGACACACTTTTTGAGTCAGTTGCAGGTCTTCAAAGACCCGCGAGAACTTCCATAGGTCTCATCTATTCCAGATGTAGACTAATGATTGGAAGGAAGTCCTGCTGTTGCAACATAAGAATCACCAACATTTTCAGGCCATTGTTAAAGAGTTTATCTCTATAGTGATGATAACGGGCATTTTCACGACCCCGGGGGGCTACGTTATCTTCTTTACATTCTGCTTGTTTTTCCTGTTTTATTTCCGCAGAATAAAAGAATAAAAGCATGACGTCCCAATTCATCGGATCGTCATGAGGGGGAGAGTGGTCCACATGCTGTTAACACTGAACAAATCATTCTGGGACACTTCACTCCTCCATCACAAAATTCAACACCCTCTCTCCTATCTCCGCAACTCAAATCAAATGGTCAGCTACACTCTCAAATCAACAATCATTATGTTCCGCTGTGCCACCGATAAGTTCTCCTCAAATGCATTCATTCCAACTAGTCAAAAAGACTACATTGTGGAGGAGACTGAGGTCAAATAAATACTCGTGTCCTGAAGATGAATTCCATGGGCGTCTCCTATTCTCCAAAGAACATTCATTCTAGAGGCGTCACCGGACTTCATCCAAGCTGATCAAGAGCAACTTCTGGAAGGCAAGGATTACATGCAAGATACAGAAAGTCCCTCAACCCCCGGCATCAAAGATCAAATTGTCAAGAAGACATCAAAGGGGAGATTGCAAGGATTCCTTCAGATAGCCTTCCTCAGAAGTCAAGTTCAAAGACAAAGGAAGCTCAATAACAACAAAGACAAAGATATCTGCGCTGCAATGCTGATTCAACACGATTGATCACCAAGGGGGAGATTGTTGGGAATATTTTATGGTGTTCAATCTAGTTAGTTATCTTTGTATTTGTGTAGTTATTAATTAATAGTGTAATACGGGCCACAAATGTGTATCAGTCTGTGGGCTTCCTTGTAACCCGTAAGTTAGCCAACTTCTCCTATAAAAGGAGGCTAACTGACGGGAACCCTAACTGATCGAGAGAGGCTTAGAAACGCAGAGGCGTAGAGATAGAGAGAAATTAGGTTGCCGCTGCTCTCCTTCTCCAGGGAGAGTAGCGGCAGATTCATACGGTATATCAGATTCGCGTTCAATCTTGTCGATTTCTTTCTATCTGCTTCTTATTCTTCTTGTTATGATTGTTGAATGTTAGAATTCTCGGACTAACACTCACCTCTTCAAAAGTGGTACTACATCCTGAAAGTGCAGACGAGCAAGCATCTTAAACAACCTTACACATCATTCGCACTGTTAGGAAATTGATGTAACGTACCTCGAAAGTACGGCAACGGAAGTTTAAAATTTTCCCAAACAGATCTTCCCTGATTATGACAAAATAACGAATATGATAATAATAACAGATCTGAGTTAGAACTTACAGATCTTCCAGCCTAGCGGTGATAATCCTTGACCTTTGGTATCCACGTGATTTCTCCTTTCTGAAAGAACGGTTAGATCTCCCTAAGAGAAAGACTAGGAAATCTCTGCGCAGGGAAATAAACTGGTAATACTGAATCTGAAAACTGGTCACGAATTATGAAGGAGAATGGTGTATTTATACTAGTTCTAAACTAGTTTCCCAATCACAATGAAAGTCTTATTCATTAAAGAGTTCTAATCTAATTAGGACCAATCTCATTTTTTAATCAAATAAATAAATAAAACAAACTAATCAATAATATGGGGGGAAGTGGGCTGCACGCCACTTTCCACCCTTACTATATTATTTATTTTATTTTATTTATTAATTAAATATTAATTAAATAATATAAATAATAAATAATAATAATAATAATAAAATCACAATAAGAGGAAGGCTAGGGAGTGGCTTTAGCCGCTACCCTACCTTTACTCTATATATATTATTATTATATTATTTATTATTATTTTGATTTTTCTTTTAATCTAATTCCAAAATGTATTAAAAGAAAATATCAACCTTATTTAATTATAAATACACTTTAATTAAGTATAATAAATCTAATGTATTTTACTTAATTAATTCTATCAAATAGAACTCTCCTTCAACTTCATGAATTAAATATGTTTAATCTAATTATATTTAATCCATTTTCAGTATTACGAATTAAATATAATTTAATCCAATTAATATTTAATTCCTTCTAACAGTTCAACCTGAAGGTATAATCACTTGTTGTGTGACCCATAGGGCCTTATATATTAAGCACTAATCAAATTAAGGTCTTAGTAGAATCCCTAGACGATTTACCAGACAAACTTAATATATAAGGACGTTTGCGAGGACTAATCAAACTCCCTGTAATATAGAGCTCATAGTGATACGGTCCTTTCATTCAACGAACATTCAACTAAGTCTAGAACATGATATTGTGTCTATCCCAATAACTTAGTCTCTGTCTCTCAATCTTTCTAGATGATCCATAACGATCATATTCGATATCCAAAGCGAATATATTTTTGCATTGGCCAATGACTTTATGATCCATCTAGATATGAGAAGTAGAATGTTCTTTCTTAATCTATTATGAGGAATGAATCCTTTCTTTTCTCAACTACTACTCCATGTGCTTCGTGATGCACCCAACACATGCCGTATCTACCCCGATTGGAGTGCAAGCGTTGGTCATGGTCAAAGTACATCACTCCGCACATGTAGTACGTATTGAGCTCAAGTCGGAGGACTATTACACTACTCTATACGCCGATAATCCCATAGACACATGAATAGAACTTATCAAATGGTTTCTCGGTGGGTATGCCAATATTCTCTAAAATATCTATGTGACCATCATGAATTACATGAACTCATAGTTGTGAGATCAGCTATACTTTCTAAAAGTATGATGCAGTCCACATACCAATCTTATCGCATATCATCAATATCCCATTCTTGATGATCATTGATTGGGGCTATTTTAGGACTTTATGTTATATCATATAAGCTCCCACTTACTTATTGACAACATAAGTCCAAGGGAACACAATTATGAATAAGATATTGACAATCGAAATACTTAATCATCAATGTGTAATACCGTATATATCAAATATATAAAACTGAATGTGATCAAGTACATATATCTCTAAAAAATGATTGTCGCTAGGACATATATACTAACACACACATCATTGCGGAATATTGATTCAAGTAGAAAAGCACCGGGACCAACAAGTGCCAAAAAATGAGGGCCTTGAGTGAATTCTGTGTACTCTCAAAGAAACTGGTCTCTAACTAGAAAGGTAAATGCTTGATCTTGAGAAGCTTACTAGTCCAGCCAGTCTCAAATAGGGAAGCATTTGAGGGGTTGAGGTTTTCCCACCCAACTTTACACTAATAAAATAGAGCTTTTGTAACAATTTGTTTGTAAAATTTATTTTTTTGTTGCATACTCTGTATAATATATAAAGTTTGAGTTATGCAACACTTAAAAATAAAGGGTTATTTTTAGGTACATCCCCTAAGGTATGCAGATTTAGCCCTTTGAAATAGGTCATCTTTATATTATTGAAGTGCCCCCTAGTCCATAATCCTACAATCTCATCACATCCCAAATAGATTAAGGAAAACAATTAAAGAGTTTAACAATCCGTATCTTAAATTGATAAAAATGTCATACATATTACTGAAAAAATTATAACAATCTCATATTTTTTGTCTTCGCTCACAATAATCTCAACTATTCATAATTGGGAAAATGGAAACTAATAATCCCACCTTTTAGCGGTTTTCTTACAATAGTCCCACCTTTTCATTATTCATGAATAATCCAACCTTTGCACCTCATCTTCATTCACCGATCCTTGACCGATTTATGACCGGTTATTCAAAATTAGTTTCTTATCTTTGCAAAACATTATGTTATCATAAGGTTAGAATTATGGTATAATCTTCTATTATACAAAAGCAAGAGAAAAACTGTACAATGTTCCCGCCCAAACACTGTACAGTAACGGGCCGGGTCAAATTATCCATGGGTGCAGAAACGGGTCTGCAGCAGCCCAGTGGTAGCTTGAAAATTGGCACAGTATCCAATGCTGCAGTTTAGCCGAGTGATGCCTTTATGAATAAAAAAATACCAGAATTTGTACTTATGAATCTTGAGCCACAAAAAACATTTAATGAGTTGTACTATGATATATTTAATTTTCGTACCTCTCCCCAATGCTGAATTATGCTTTTGTGTGGCTCAAGACACAAATTTAATGCTCAATACAAGGATGTTCACTCTTCAAATTTCGAACAGTGAGGTTTATGTAATCAATAAAATTGGCCTTGAGCCACACAAACAATTAATGACATCCTTGAGCCACACAAACATTAAATGTTTGTACTATAAAATCTCAAAGTAAAGATTGAGTAATACATATAACCATAGGTTAATAACCAAGTGCTTTATGTGAAGCTCTCATCTGCCACTATAAATACCCAAGTGGTGGGTTGGATGAGCACACCACAACCAAGCTCTCCAGCATTAATTCCAATCTTTGAAAGTATAAAAAAAATCCCAGAGCAAGTCTTGAGCCACACAAACATTAAATGCACTATACTATCTTTACATTACAATAAAAGGATTTTGTACGCCACAATCCCAATTTAAAGATTGATTGGGAAATTATCCCTTGGTTAATACCCCTTTGGCAGAAACTGTTCTCTCCCCGGCCACTATAAATACCCAAGTGAAGGATTTTCTAGACACACCACAAACGAGCAATTCCAGATTTAGAGTTTAAACTAAACAATGGCAGGTTCATCTACAACGGGGATGTGGTCTATGATCAAGGACATTGATCACACCAATTCTACCTGGGCTCTGAAGGTTAGGGTTGTAAGGGCTTATGAGGTGCCTCTTCACTCAAAAGGAGGGGAGACCCTCGAGATGGTTTTGCATGACGCCGAGGTACAATTTATACTTCTAACAAAAATATTTTATATGATAAAACGTTCGTTGTTAACTTTTGAATCTGTAAAATAGGGAGATCGGATTCATGCAATAATCAAGAGACCACAGATTGCCATGTACAAGACTATAATAACTGAGCACAAGATCTATGCTATAAGGAACTTCTTAGTTCTAGACAATTACCAAACAGTGAAGACCACAAATCATCCCTACCTGATTCAGTTCATCTCTAAAACCCAATTCAGGGAGGATACGAAGACAGAATTGCCTATGATGGTTTACGATTTCCATCCTTTCGATATGCTGCACGCCCAAAGGGTTATCAACGACAAAACTCTCATTGGTGGGTAAAATCAAATTATAGACCTAACTAAATAACTTATGGAACTATGCTAACAACAGTTTCCATTCCACTGTTTCAGATATCATTGGGAAGGTTATCAATAAAAGCATTGTTCAAACCCATATCATCAATGGGAAGACCGAAAGGCTAATGGAGCTAACTGTGGCAGACCCAGAGTATTTTTTTTTTCATTTAGAAATGTTATGGGTACGAAAATAATTTGTTATGCTAATGGCTAAAATCCTTTTGAAATTACAGGGGAAACATACTAGGCTGTGTTCTATGGAACAAATATATAAACCAGTATCAGGATTATGTTAATGAGAACCCTGGAATTGCTGTTTTTGTGATATTTCAACTGTGTAGACCCAAAAGATATCAAGGTATTACAACATCTAATTTTGCTATTTCACCAACATCAACGTATCATCAACTGTTGCTTAACAATGTTATTTACAAGCAGGCAACCTAAGTGTGGCTTCATCTTTTGATGTGTCCAAACTCATCATCAATGGAAACACAACCGAATTCTTAGAGTTCCAGAGCGAGTACGATTCATAATTTTTTTTTTCTTATAATTATCTAATAATAATAGTAAGTTTTAAAAAACAATAACTTACTTTGCACAATGAAACAAATAATAGATTTCCGGCGGATGGTGATGACTCCATATCTCAAACATGCAACACAAACTGCTCACAAGGTGAAGGGAGTAGGGATGTGCTTAGTGATCATGCTGTCATAACCACTATGGAGGATTTGATGAATGCAACTGAGGAAATATGTGTTAGAGGGATTTTTGTAAGCAGCATTTCTAATTGGTTGTAATCATTGTGTGTCAAAAACATTTTGAATGAATAGGAGGATATTTACTGGGTGCTTGGAGAGATAGTTTCTATCGAAAATACTCGGGAGTGGTGCTACCTAAGCTGCCCAACATGTCACAAGAAATTGGTACCAGAGGAGGAGAGGTTCAGGTGTTCTACTTGCAGCGTGACACTAGGAGAAGGAGTCTACCGGTACTATAATATCACCTTATTTGATGCCAGAGATAATGTTGTTGGGGTTAATGTATTGTTTTACAAATATGAATTTCAAATAAACTAACACATCATGGACCTGATAATGATTAAGTTACAAGGTCAGTGTGCGCATCATGGACAACACCGGGCACAGAAATTTTATTCTATAGGATAGGGAATGTATTGAGATTCTGGGGAAAACTTCTGCATCCCTAATGGCTGAAGTCCAAAAGGTAACATCTATATTTTATTCACGGCAATTTTATTCTATGTAGACCACTCATTCTATTTCATAATGCAACTTGAAAAAAAAAACAGAAAACAGGTGATCCAACCCATTTTCCAGAAGATATTGAAAGCTTGATTGACAAAAAGGGAATATTCAAAATACAACTAAAGAAGAGAGGTGAAGAGAATGCCTATAAAGGTAGTGTTTCCCTTGGAGTTGTTAGTATGATTCGAGATCCTAATGTGCTAGCAATGTATGAAGGAAATCATGAGCAATTGGTATCAAATGAAAGCCATGACTGTACTCCAGAGAAGCTATTTGAAAAAAATCTTTAATAGTTCATTTTCAGCTTAGATCTAAAGATGATGCCTAGAGTGAATCTTTCTATTTCAGATTGGTTCATGTTAAAACTTGGAAGGAAACGACAACTCGATAAGAGAGAAGTCTTCTGTTACTAAGGGCAAGGGAAAACGGATTTCAGCTGAGAAGGAGGTAAAATGCTCATCAACCTAACAGGTTTATAATGGTTTGAATTACGAAATTTTGAAAATGGACTTTCTTTCTATTCATACTAGGTTACTGCCCCCATTGAGCTCTCAGATTCGCCTGTTGCTTCTACACAAAGATAGGTGATTGTTTAATTGGATGACGAGATAAAAAGGAATCTCAATGATGAGTTTTCAGGCAATGGGAATGAAAAGAAGCTGAAGATTAAAATCAAGCAGGAAAAACTGTAATTGGGTTTGCAAAGAAGTGAAGATAACGTTTCGATTTTTTTGTGGAAACATCTAATGCGGTGTTGGTTTTTTTGTAAAACTGTATCAAGGGGCCGTATGTATTTTGGAAGTGAAACACTATGTGTGACAAACTTCAAATAACCTATATTATGTCTATAGTGTGGTGTGCTAATTTGATGATGCTATGTTGTGGACGTATTTTACCTTGGTCCTCTATAGATTGTGTATTTCTTGAGCAATTGCAGGTTTTCTATAGAGAGAAGAAATTTCTAACTTTAAGGGATGTCTTTACACATAATTCATATTGGCAAGTTTTATAAAATAATTTTATAATGAAACTGACACACTTATAAATGATTTGCAGGTGAAAAAATGTTTTAGGCATGTGGAGACTCCTAAATGAAGGCAACAAGTTTCTAACTACGAAGTATGTTTTCAAGTATTAGGAAACGTAAAATTTTGTAACTATGTTCATTCTTGAATAAGAGGGTATTTATTTGATTTCAAAAGTGTATTCATTGGATTTCAAAGCTAAATTTGTATTGTTTATTGTAGAAGTTAATACATTTGCTATGATTGAAAATAAGAATTGGTTTTCTAATATTTCCAAAGCTAAATGGAGTTCTAAACTACAGACAACCTACAAACAATGAGAGTTGAAAATAGGGCCAATAACGAGAGGTAAAGTGACATACCTGACCAATTGGTATGGTTGATTAAACCTGCAATCCCTAATTTTAACTAAATAATATTACAGACCTTTTTGAATGTTTACATAAATGGCAACCTTCTAAGGCTCCAGAACTATTTCTATTACATTTTTCTACATGGCAGTCATGGAAATACCCTTCAATTTGAAAATTACACCTGCAAGAATTAAGGTATAAAGAAGTCAGTATAGAGAGTCATTATATCCAATTAACTAATTCTGATCATAGAGCTTCAACAATCTGCAGTTTAATCATAAAGATTTAAACAAAGTTTTAATTTTAACCAATCTGTTAAAAAACAACAACTTTGTATTTCAAACAATCATTTGGTTATTGTATAACATCAATGTACTAAATAATTATATTTATCATTGACATAATAAACATCTATATACATAGTATGTCTTATATATGATTTGGGTATAATAAAAGATGTTTGCTCAAGAAATTATATTTCAAGTGCAGTTGCATTATACCACACTTGAAAATTTAACCAATGTACTTCACTTGAAACTTCTCAAACCAATCATTTCTTGAAATGGACTTTTATGTTGTTGCTAGAAAAGAAATGAGGTATATGTATTTTTAAATCAAGGAAGGAGAATTAACAGAGTCATAATTTTCAGTAGAGAACACTTATTGAAGCACGTAAACATGATTTCAGTTAAAATTTGTGAAGTACATGGTTACAAAAGCAGCTGCTGAGCAGTCTTTTTGGCCTAGATATGCGGGAGCAGGTATCCAATTGATTTGAAATGCCAAGGTTTTCCAATTAATAATTATTCATAGGTCATATAAGAGTTTGAAGGTAAAAAGGTTTATTCAAAGTAATATTCTTACAAAAAAACGTAGATTGAATCATTTGGTTATAACCAATCTGTTAAATCATAAAGATTTAAATGAAGTTGTTGATTTAAACCAGACTGTTAAAAATCAGCAACATCGTATTTAAAACAATCATATGGTTATTGTGAAGCATCAATGTACGTAATACTTGACAAATCATTTGACATAATAAACATAATTTATACATAGAATGTCCCGTATATATGATTTTTGTATAATAAAAGATGTTTGCTCAAAAAATTAAATTTCAAGTGCAGTTGCTTTTTTGTAAAGGAATACTCCGTATTTAGAATTAACCACTAAGAAGTAATAATATATAGTGACTTACTGTGTTTAGGAGTACATAGTGATAAGAAAGGCATTAAATAAATACCAGTTTACTATCAAATCAGAGGAAATAGGATGACAGTTAGGTCTGCACATTTAATAAAAGCATACACAGGAAACAAGGATACAAACCAAGTACATGATTTTTATAATTATGAAAATCTTTTTTCGGCAGGCATTTATTATTAATAACATTTTTAAACATGTTTTCAATACATTTACACATGGTCTGCTCGCATTAAATGAACCAACCTGTAAGATCCCAATACTAGGATGGCGTGTAGGTCTGCTCATTAAATGAGCACAGGCAACAGGTACATATCACAATTAATAACAAATATTACTTACCAGTGGTCAATAACCATTACTGTAGTCTGGGTGCACATATACCATTGAAAATGCATTTACTCCCTGCTCAGAAACTCATTTACTCAGCTTAACCATAACATCTAAACAAAGCAGGCTGCCACTGTTTCGAGTATACAGTCTGAGCATTGATATTTCTACACAAACCTAAGGTATGTTATCTACTATGGTTTTGAATGACAAAATGATCTAAAAATGATATAAGTACCAGTGAAATCTTTTTTATGCTAAACATAATGAAAAATTGAAATTAGTTTTAATACTTTTATTTTCTAAAAAACTGAATGACAAAAAATGAACTTTGTTGTTTAAGATGAGGTGCTGTTCATGTTCAAAATGCAATGCTCCAAAATGTTCATGTTTTGGTTGGTACCATGCTATTGGTGTAATAAAAATTTAGGTCACTTTTACTGCATGAGGCCTCTAAACAAGAAAAGGTATACTGGGAATTACATATGCCAACAATGTCAACAATGCCTAGATGCAGGCCCTATAATACCTAGAAGATCAGGTCGGTCTGTAACACTCAACTACAAGTACTTCAATGAAAACGTCACTGTGGGGATGAGTTTTGGTTGGCTTAAAATGGCATGACTGTATTCATGCATACTATGTAAATGAAATATGCCTATGGTTTTTGTGGGATGTGTAAGAGCCAAGCTGTTTTGTTTTTTGCAAATTGTGTGACATTTATGATCTCAAATAATCCTAGGCCATGTTTGTATTCTATGTAATGATTGTAATGTAATGTTATGTTGATGGTTGTATGCATATGCTTTTTTGAAGAAACACAACTGAAGAATGGTTTGATGAATATATAAGTTTATGCATTTCATAGGTTTTTCAGTACATGTTGAAATCCAAACTATATGGAATGCAAAGATGTTTTTGAAAAAATTGTAGAAATGTGAGGTTTTATTTACTTTACATTACTGGAATGTATGGCATGGGTTAGGTTACATGTATTAAGGCCATATATGATAGACAGACCATGCAGATCCGAAGGCCACTTAGGTGGTTGGCAGGGAATCTGACAGCATATAGAATTGGCCAACTTACTAACAGCTCTTCAATGAAGAGGATCACCA